AAAAAAAAAAAAAAAATAAAATAAAGAAGGTACAAATATTAATTTGAGTATTAATTTAACATTATACCATAATCCTTTTGATTTCATTAATTTTAATTCACTAGCTGCTTTGTTTGTATCGCCGACAATAACGTGCGTTAAAGCATCAGATATATCATCAAGTCGTGTCGCACTACCTACATTCAATATTTTGTTAATTTTATCCTTTTGATTAGAAGCAAATCCAGCAAGATAAATCTAAAGAATTAAGAATGACTTATTTGGGATACATTATGGGTACATATAGTACATGAAAATATGTAACGCAATTTACGTACACTACAACCATCTAAAAACGGACCAGCCGATTTTGCTTCGCTAAATGTAAGTCTATCTAAAACTGCAACTGTAGAAGCTAAATAATTTAAATAAATGAAAATAAAATTCATTTCTTTTATGAGTCACTTTTGTATATTTTGCAATACTAACCAGTAGGAGTATTGTTACATAATAGATCTGAGGAAGAAACATTGCTCATTGTTATTGAAGTTTCATCAATGCAATTACCTGGCTGTAGATCACATGCTATGGAACTTATTGTAGAGCAATTGAAACTGTTAGAAACTGAAAAAGTTAAATATTATTAAGCTATTAACTTGTAATGTTAACCATTACAAATATCTTTACCATTTGATTTTTCTGGTGTAGAAAATGCCTTTAATGATTTAATTAAATAATCTTTAAAAGGCAAAGCATAACCAACTTTTATACTTTCATATACCCAATCTGGTGTTAAACAAGCAATGTTAGCTTGTTTTGCAAATTTGAGTTTTTCAGTTATTGGACTAGTTTCTAGTGCAAGTAGAACTTTAACTTTTGCACCATCCAAAGGACCCATAAATGTCTAAAAAAAGATAAATAATGCTAGGAAATGGGTAAAAAAAGAAATAAGAATTTAAGAAAATATATTTTACCCCTCCATTATTATTAATTAAACGTTTAATTTCATCTTTCTGACGTTTTGGAAGATTTGTTGATGTTACGACTAAATTAAGGAACACAGAAGCTTTATATTTAACAAATATGCTGTCATCTGCTTTAACAAAATTTGTTAAATTTGTTTCCCAAACTGCTTCAACCCATTCTTTTGTAAATATTGGTATTTTCATACCTATTGCAGTCTATGAAAAAAAAAAAGTAGACAAAAGAAATTAAATGTTATGAAGTTATTGCTATGATTTGAATATATGAATTTACTTACCTCATATTTAGCAGACATAACAGACGCTGTTACAAGATGTGTTACACGACTTCGTAATTGTTTTGTAAAAATTCCTCCCATGTACTCTACTAATTTTTCTATATTTTCCTATAATAATAAGATTTTTAAATATTTTAAATTTCATTACTTTGGGACAACAATTATGATGGATATACTTTTTCTTCTGGGGGAAAACCAGAAGGACATATACAAAGACCTCTCATAGCTGTCGTATACACAGGACTTCTGCCTTCTGGAATTGGTTCTCCATTAATAAAACAAAGCAGTAGACACTTTGGCCCAACTATACTGTAAATATAAAATAATATTTAATGTGAAATTACTTAGTACTTTATTTAGTACTTTATAAATAATAATAAAATTATATCTTAAAATTAAAGTTCTACTTACGGGCATTTAAATGTTTTTAATTTGTTGAATGCATCACCTTCAAATTTCTCAATTACAAAAACATCATTTTTATTAGGCTTCATTATATTACAGCTTTTTTCATCTATCCATGTTGGTTCTAAATCATGTTCGCAACATTTCTAAAAAATCAATACATTATTTTGTTTGCTTGAAAGTTTTTGATTAAAAAAAATATATTTACTAACATTGTATGCATGCCACATATCTTCAACACAGTCATTTTCGGATTTATAGTTGTTTGGAATAACAAAATATATATTTATATCAGTATCAGCTAAACTCTCTTGGCTCATCATTTTAAAATTACAGTTTTTTGTTTAGAATATGAGATATTTTTAAACAAATGATTTCTTATTATTCGGTAAATAAATATTTAAGAAAAAATGAAATATTTATATCACAGAAATATATTTACATGCTATAGTATTTTTTAACTTAAACAACTAGAATACAATATTATTTGTCCATTGGAAAATTATATTGTATACTTTGTGTTAAGTATTAGTTTAATCGCTTAATGATATTTTTAGTCGTTTAAATAATTTTTCAACTTTAAAAGTGACATTACAATGAATAAAGTATAATAGGTTATATTTTTTCAGAAACGAATATTAAAAAGGACATTAATTTTGAAAGAATATTTCCCTATATCTACTAAAACAATATTTAATGTTTCAATAATATATTGGCTGGTTCTATAAAAACCAATTGATTTTTAAATCGTAAAATATTAAGACACTTCTACTATGTAGAAAATTTTCTCGCGCTTAATGTTACTACGTTAGTCAATCTTCGTATGATTTCTACAAACGTCGCAAGGCTAAAATTTTAAAACAAATTTTATTAAAATAATTAAATGTTAATTAATCGATAAAATAATATATCGCGTGTTATTTAAATTAAATAAAACATTTTAATACATTAATAATTTGTTTATACGTTATTTGTAACAATTTTCGAAAGGTACGAGTAGTACGAAGATCGTTGCTATTGCATTTCAAATGAAATGATTGTTAAAGACAATATATAAAATATTAAGTAGTACATTTTATTCCGTTTAAATATCGAACTAAACTAATGTCTATTACAAAAAGCTAATTTTATGTTTTATATCAATCAAAGATGTAATTGAGTCAAAATTCGTTACAGTTGGCAACCCTGAGCCTTAAATTCAAAAATTTTCAGTCCCGCTTCAATTAGTTAATTGAATCAGTGATGTTAATGTTACAAAGTGTTTCTTCATTTCTTTTTCATTGTGTTTTATGTTTGGAAACAATTCAGTTCATTTTGCAGTATCAAAAGTGACCGATTTCTTGAATTTGGTGAGTAGCTTGTTTCAAATATAACCTTATATTAATTGAATTTTGAATGTTTAATAGTCAGCGTCATTAAATTTAATGCGGTAATAGCTTTTGAATTCATAATTAACAGTATTTGGAATGCGTGATATATATAGTTAGTATAAAATATGCGTTATAAATTCATACATACCTTCATTGTCGAAATTTACGTCTCGTGATCAAAGGAAAAAGAATAGCATTAGGTTTCGTAATATTAAAATAATTTAATTGTATAATTCGATAGACAGTAACATGGTTGACACAAATGACGTAATGCCACATCGAAGTTGTTGCATTTGTATCAAGTGCCGGTTGATACAACAAACGAGAACATTATTCGGTCCTCTTATAATTGTAGTAGTTTTCGCAGCAACATTCGCTGCGCATAATTATCAATAATTAGCAACAAACTCATAAATTGAGGGAATAGTTTGTTCAATACCCTTTTTGTTTGCAACTGTTAATCCGGTATACTTTTCCCTGTTTCGTTAGCATACAAATATAATTTTCGCGTAAGTAGTCGATTTACGATTACATTATTGTTATAATACAAATAGTACACAACAGAACAAATTTTTGCTAGTTCCATAGCTTACTAGCTCAATTTTCATCAATGTATAAATGTAGAAAAAAGGGTAGGAATAATTAAAAGGGAAGGAACTTAGGAATTTCCTTTACCTTGTTATCAATTAATGTTCATGTTTCATTAGGAAATAAGTACTACATACGAAAATGCGTCTTTTTCCAAGTAGAACGTCATCAAAATTATTCGCATTATAATATAAAATATAGTACAAAGATTTTTCTTCGCATCGATCCAACACTTTCTCTTCCGTGTCCACGACATTTAGCACATTCACCTTGTACACTTGTTATAATTGTAACTCCATAGCCTACGCTCTTGTCACTGGCCACCGGATGAAATTGTACCGAAACTGTTTCAACATAGTATTTTCAACATAAAACTCGCCGAGATGTACATCGACTGCGGTAATGAAAGGAAACAAACAAAACGAGATGGCGATTAAAAACTCTAGCATGGCAGTTTGTTCTTTCACTTACAATTTGCTTGATTCAGCGAATCTGCATTCAACTATGGAATCTTGGTGTCGCAGGATCCATCGAAAGGAGTGAAACTGAATCATGTGAAGCGATCAGGCTATTATGCACACGTTTCGAATCAAAGTTGAACATCTACTGGTTAACATATACAAAGAGAACAACCACGTTCGCGATTGCAAAAATTGCACAGTAATCTACAGCTCCTGTCTATGGGTCGAGACAGGGCGTGTACGTATAATCGAGAGTCAACCTTAAACTAGACGGATCATTGCGTCCCTCTTCGTTCATCAGGTTACAATTTGCTGTCCTCGAATCTTCTTGACAAAAGATCGAGCGCGATTCTGACCTAGAGAAGCAACTTCGGATGAGACAGGATCGCACTTCATCGGCGATCTTTCGATAGTATTCGTTACAAACTGGCTCTCTCAAGACCGTCATTAGACGTTACAGAAATTGTACAAGTTTAAGATTCGCGTGCCTAGGGTAAGATGTATCCGAGGTCACGCGTTTAGAGCGTTGGTGGCCTCGTCCTCTTTACTCAGCTCGATAAGCTTCTCCAGAGAGAACTGGCGCGCCCTGGCAGCCCATACTTCACCGTTCGCTAGCACCCTGAAAGGAAAACGGTATTCGATCGATTACAATTGCATCGAGAAATGACAAACATTTCGTTCATCTTCGATCATTTTCAAAGGCCGGTATGTGCCAAAACGGAAATGGAAATACATTTAGCTGGCATTTCTGGGCAATATAAGTAAGGATTGGCCGATTATTCGGCTACATACCTTCTAGTGTTTTCGCTAACCAATCTATCCGGCGCTCCGTACACCGGCGGATTAGCATAAGGATCATAGCCGAGGACAGAAAGCATCGGTGCGATGTCAGGCATTTCCCTGACCACGTCGTCCGGAATGTGGCCTACCCACTTGGTCAGTGCCTCCAGGTTAACCGGCTTTATGATCTGGTCCGACGACCTTTCGACCCTACATACCAAAAATAGGATAAATTTTAGTTCCTCGTCGTTTCATCTTCGTGTCCGCTATTTACGATTATCGCACAGCGAAGAAATATCACGATTCTTATATCATTCTAACGATCTACCGGAAAAGTTAAGTACGCGCTTACTTGCTCAAGGGTACGCCGCCTGGCTTGTTTATGAATTCCTCGTGATGCATCACAGACTCGTTCCAAGGAACATCCAGGAAGTTTAGAATCTTTTTCATCCATTGACGCGGATGTAGCACCAGTTGCTCGTATGGAACCATTAGACATTTGTCCGAGCCAATTTCCTTGCACTGGCCGTACATTGTCGATATCGCGTGGTTCCACTTGATCAACGATTGTCGATACGAGGACAGGTCGAATCCCGTTATAGTCACCTGAAAGACACGTCGTTACATTTATCGTTTAGTTATTTAAAAGTGACATACGCTCGCCGCTTCGCACGGAACGATAAAACAATATTTGATTATCTCATAAGCATAAAATCGTCGATCCTCTTGGTTACAAAATTCCGAGTCGCTTCGAATTTGCATGACTTTACATGTTACCGTCACATTTTGCTTCGATTCATCCTCTTTTGCATCGGAGGAATACGTAAATTCCCGTTCGTTCCTTTTTTTCCCGCTTTTTGTTCGCCCCTCCGGACGAGTACGTCGCATTTTAATATTCGCGAATGAAGTGGGAGAAATTTGCATACATCAGCCGGAATGGCCGGCAGGTTGGGGTGAGTCGGTCGGAGCCTTCGATCGGGCCATACCTTTCTCGAGATAATGGAATGCACGGTGGCACGGCCATCGCGGATCATGAAGATAAACTTGGCATTTGGAAAGAGATCGAGGATGTAGGAGCCCATCTTCAGAGTGAGGGGATCCTTGTTGCACAACCGCGGCGCTGGCTCCGCGTGTCTCGCTATTATCTCCAGGCAGAAAGCTGCTATAGCACTATCCATTACCTGAGCAACAAATTATTTTCCCATTAATATCGTTAATTATTCGCATTATCATACGCTGAACGATCTTTAACAATACTGACCCGTAACGTGTACTTAATTATACGTAGTATACACGGATAATGATAATTAAAGTGATACGACGAAAATGAATGGATATATTCCATCACGTTACTACCTCGATAAAGGTCAGCATGAATTATAATCGAAAGCAGCATTTTAGCAACTAATAATAAAAATCAAAAATCCGAAATCGATTTTAACTCTAGCTTTTCTATCTTTCTAACCATAGTCTTGGAGCTAAAACTGATCGAACCAGTAAATATTCGTTTCTGTCAGAATTTATCTTCAAAAAGTTGACAATATAGAAGGATCGATAAGGGTTTGAACTCAACTCAAGGGTAGTACAATAGTATATTCGTCCGACGATTAAAGCAAAGAAGAATGTAAATCAAAGAAGAGTACAGAGATACTTACTTCTTTCGAAATACCCGCTTCCGAAAGTCGCAGATTCTCCCTCTCAGATTTTAGCCAGTGCATCCTCATTTGTAGGATCCTCGGTATCACTCGTGTCTCTTGGCCGCACCTGTCGCGAAAAGTCATATACGTGTGAGCAGCCATATCACAATGAGGCATTAGTTTGCGACGACGATGTTGACTAAGAACACTCGACGTCAATCGCATCGGTCGGTAATTGGCAATTTATCTCGCGAATGCAACTCACCTGACATCGGGGTGTGCATCGAGCATGGCGCGCACCAGGGTGGTGCCTGATCGTGGAACCCCACCGATGAAGATGAGCGGCATATAACGATCGTACGTGTACCTCTTGTGATCGAACGGGCCCACCACGTATTTCTGGAAAATATATGAGTCATTAACATAACATACCGCTATTCATGTTAATGATTTATTCGCTATTTAATTTGAGCGAATTACCTGATTATTTAAACGTTTGCGCACGTGAAGTGAAATAAAATGGACAATGGAAGCTGTTTTTCGCTTGTTTCGTGATGAGGTTATAACACTGTCCAACGAATTTTAATTTTATCTTTAATTTGTAATAATAATTTCTACTAATTAATTTTGTGATAATTAATTTGTAATAATAAATTAGGCGACTCGTGTAGTGTTTACTTTCCTGAACACGAATACGTAATTAAATTTGTATGTTGCAAATTAAAATTCGCATTGAACAGTGTAATTGATAAAGGTGATTAGGGTTGAGATGATTATTTTATAAGCAGTCCGCGGAAAATTCGATAGTTAAGGGTGAATAATTTTTCGAATAAAAAGTTGCTCCATCCATGCGAGGAAACTCGATAATATATTTTTAGAAAGCGTTGATAAAATGTGCGATGAAAATAAACGATAATTTCTCCTTTGGTCCGATGTGAGCTATTAACGATGGTCATCGCTGTCCGGCTATCGGGTAAACGATCGAAAGTTTTTGGTAGCCGCATACAGGGGCGAGTAGTTCGTCGAAGGATTCTTCTAAAATTATGTCCGCTTGATTAAACCTCGGCAATGAAGAAGTTTCTATCTCTCCTACAATATCACCTAACGAACGAACTGTACGGGGATGTTTCACAAGCTTCGAACTAGGGGGCAGGATCGATACGTTTTAAGTTTTATGTACAGAAATCGACGTTTCTTTCTGAAATGGCGAGGATTCGATCGTGAAATAATTTAAAGTAACTCTCGAGCAATAATAAAGTCTCGTTTGTATTTGTCTCTTAAATTAATGTTATCACCATAGATGTGACATAGAATAGTCTTGACAGATAATGCCACTTTGTATGCCATGTTTTAAAATACCGATTACGTAAGAAGAATGGAGACTCTGTTATACTTTCTATGATTCAGAGTGGCGAATTTAGAAATTACATATGCATGTAATGCATATGCAACCGGCGAAACACATATAAAAGTACGGTCTATTACAAAATCGTTAAAAAGAATAAATAACGCGGAAATGTATGTTGCAGGAGCATAAATATAGTTACGATTTGTAAAATACGTATGAATAATTAAATTTATCATTAATGATAAATTAATATCGTTAATAACAAATTGCTAGCCGAAGCATGAATTTGTAATAAAAATGAAAAATTAAATGATTTATTGGGTACGTATAATAGAAAAGCAATTATTAATGGAGTCGGTAACGATCGTAACTTTTCGGTTGAACTTCGGGAGCTGGGAGCTGGTTATATAAAGGCTGTGGCAGCACAGCCCGAGTTCATTTGCCGATTAGGCTTGGGACCAGGTGGATCGGAAATTTTATCAGAGCTTTTTTATCGAAATTTTATCGAAAATGCGAATGTTAGTTATGCGATGATCATTGTTCACTTCTACTCTTCTATAAAAAGTAACAGGTTTGCCTTACATCTATATTTCTCGATTCGACTAGCATGAAATAATAATTCGTCAAAATATTTTTTCAAGCTAAATTTTACTCGCAGTCTGACGACCACGTTAATGGGTCGCGGTAAATTTCACGGTAGTCTCTTTTTGGTGAGCGGTAAAATTAACAAACGTTTTGAATGGTTTAATTAACTGCAATCAATGCGAAGTAGGATAATATTCCAACTAGCTCGGACTCGATTAAGCAAACATTATATCACAAACTTTATCGTTTGATCGAACCATGGACGCATTTTGCATGATTATTCATAAATATTGACCACGAGCTTTCGTTAATAGAATTTACAAATTGAAATTGAATTAAGATCTATAATTTTATAACGCACTGTTTATTCACGACTCTTGTAACCTTTTCCTTTCCAAAATTAAATCAGTTTGGTATCGACGAAAGGCGTAATTGAAGATGGACACGAGTTTTCGATGTTCGAATCGATTATAGCGATGTACTAATTTGTCCCTACGCTTTTATTCCCTCGTAAGAAAGCACTTTCGCCTCTTCTTGTATTTACCATTTTTATCTTTCGGTACTTTAGTCGAAAAATACGAGTAAACTGGCGCCCGAAATGTTGTCCGTAGAATTTATACTCTGGACGGGAACGAGGTCCTAATAAAAACTGGCAATTAACGTTCTAACTGCTAGTTATATCGCCTTAATTATTATATCGATCACGCAGCTCTCTAATAAAAATAATTAATTGCGGGTTAATTGGATACGCGATTATATCTTGCGCGGCTAGAAAGAGCGACCACGGCAGCAAATTCGAAGAGAACGCGTATCACAGTTTCCACGACGATGAAAAATACAATTTCCCCAGCGTGCAGCGAATTTCTAGCGACTTTCGTGCTTTTGTAAACGTGCCGGATGCCGAGGCTGACGTGCAGCGCGCGGTAAAATTTAGCGACCAGCGGTTTAATTAGCGGCACGATTAAAATTACAGCGACATGCAAATGAACAATCGGAGGAACAATTGATGTTACGATCCGTATTCGCGTGTATCACAGCCGCGATCGCGCGATACGATATTGGTTACGATCGCAGAATAAATCAGTCCGAACGGTGGAGAAAAACAATAAATGATTGTTTGCGTGTACAGCGATAGAATCGGTCATTAAAACAAGAAAACAAAAAAAAAACCCAAAAAGAAGAACAGAAAAATAAATGCGATTGAAATAGTAATCACCGAACAAAAAAATCCGCGATAGATGGCAGAAGGTTCACCTGGACGGTACCATCGCGATCCCTCGGCTGACCCCCATAAAATAAGCCCTTGTTTCTACTCATAAGGGCGCGTTTTCAGACCGACTCTGGCGTTTTACGATTTTTCGCGCGTACGTTGGACACCGTTATTAGTGGTGACGTTGGGAGGAAAGGGAAGAAAGAGAATGGGAAAAAGAAAAAATTAAAAATTAAAAAAAAATGCAGAAAACAGTGCAAAAAAAAAAGAAAACAAAAAGAAGAAAGAAGAAAAGGAAAAACTACATTTCGCAATTAGCATTTCTCGGGTAACAGGGGGTGGCTTCGTTGTTCGGTCCACCGTCAGCCGACTCTCCATTCTCTTTCGCTTTTAGCACCGAAGCACACGGAGGAAAAGTACGCGTGAAACTCAACCGACGCGATTTATGTTGCGCGGAGGGTGAACCTGACAGAAACTCGTTTCTCTTCCGTCCGCGCGCGTTTCCCGCCAGGAACCTGCGAATACAGACACGCTCGGTGCTTCGAGCGTACACGTATTCACGCATGTTGCATCTTCTTGTGTCTCTAATTCTCTTTGCCCTTTTTTCACCCTCTCTTCCCCCCCCCCCCCCCCCCCAGACGCGCGGCCGGGAAGCCCGCGCAAAAAGGGGTAGAAAGGTCGGACGCGTTGGCGGAAAGTTTCGAGGCGAACAGCCGCGATTTCGTCCCTTCACGGAAACGCGCCTTTCGCCCCTTTTCTTTCCCGGCTGGCACGCTTAACGCTGGACAAACGAACGAGCAGAAGCGTCGTAACGTTTTTAATCCTAGACAGGGCTGAACCCGGGATTCCCCGCTTTTCAATGATCTTTGCCGCAAGTACGATCACGTGGTAGTCGATGATTTCATCCCTGATTAGCTGTGAGACCGCACCTAGTTTTTGGTTCCCCTGTTTCCCTTCCTGCGTGACTTGTAACCTTCTCGCGCTATGTACCCTTCAATTGCAGTCTAATATCAGGTTTGCGAAATTATTTGCAGTTCATGCGTTCCCAATTAATCTTGAATATCGTATAAACGCTTTGCTTTGAACGTTGTATAACTTTATATCGATGTTTTTATCACGTTTCTTCTTGATTTTGTAATTTATGTATTGTACGAGGGTTTACAAATCCATCTATAATAGTTGCGAATGTTTCAACCTCTATTGTAATTAAGGATTAACCGTTTCCTGTTCGTACATACATGTGGGGCACGTGCATTTCCTCGGAGAGGATAACGAGGACGTTCGATTCTTTTTCTTCTTCCTTCAAACGAAAAATGAGGAAGTAATAAAGTCTCGGTAAGAGGTAGTGCATCGGGTCGTTGGGAGAGTACAACATTTTCATTGGCATTTTTACGAGGCCAAGCTGTTTACCGTGTGGATCAAGCACACGCCGTCGAGTTCTCTTTAAAGCTCGCGCTTCTGATATATTATCTACAGGATTTGCGTCACGCTTTAATACGACAATGGGGGTTCTAATGCGGCGACCTACCCTTTGACAGTAATCTCTTTGTTCCTCGTCATAAAGGCCACTCGTTAGAAATCAAGGGGCGTGTGCACGACGAGAAAAGTTTCGTCGGTTCGGTTTCACCGTTCGTCCTTTCGTTTGGTAACGAGATAATTCGAGCACGATCAATCAACGCGCTTTTACCTTGTCTCTCGTCACGCGAGCCAGTGTCCGTAATCCGTAACAAAACCGACTCGAGTGTTCGAGTTTCCAAAATTTTTTCCTTATCGTTCATCGTCACGGTCGTTACACCGTTTCGGAACGAACGCACTTTCTCGTCTCTCCGTGCAATTGTGAATGGATAATTTCCAAGCTGATCCGTTTTATTCCTCATCGTGTTTCGCTTCCATTACCTTTCTTGGCGAGGAACGGTCTTTCCTCTCGGAGAGGCAATCTAATAAGCAAAAAACCTGTAGGGAACACAAGAACGAGGGAATGGAAATTGTTATCTCGTAACGCGATCTACTTCGATTTCGATGAATTTTCAGCGCTTATCCCTGGAGATCTTCAAACGAGATGACTCCCCTTATCGACTCGTCGAGAACGAAGGAATTAACAGGAATGCAACGCAGCTTGGCACTTTTCCCACGAGAAAAGCTTTTCCAGCTATGCTAATCGTCCATTAGATTGAGCGGACGAGCCTTTGGCGGCGTGTTCCATCGATCATTCGAGGCGACGGAAAGTCGCGGGAAGAAAAGTTTCACGCCGATAAGCAGGGTCGATTAATCGACTCACGGGCGGGCGAGGGGTCTGTCAAAAGGCAGAAGCTGCCGATTATGACAGATCAATTAGCCGGATAAATCCACATTGGAGATTAGCTGGCAATTCTCTTCCCTGTCCGTTCACCATTTTCGACGGTTCCTCGAGAGCAAGATGGCGGCGCGAAGCGACGCTGACGTATCTTCCGACACGACTAATCTCGACGAACAAAAATCCAATTTCAAAGTTTCCGCGGCATAAACGAAGTTCCAAGGAAATTTCTACCCTCTTGGAAGCCACAATATGAGTTCATCGCGCGCACTGCGTACCGACTTTTCTCATAAGCTATGCATAGGGACGCGTGGTACGGTTGTCAAATTCGACGCAATCGCACTGTGATTTTTACGAGACTCGCGGTGAATTAAAATTCACCATGCGAGTTTTCCGCGAGTTCTCGTTTGAGTCTTACATTACGTGGCCCAGGAGACCTTCGTTGTTCCATCGTTCGATCGATTTTCCTTCGCGTCTCGTCACCGTGACCCTTGCCCGCGATAATTAATTGCTTTCATAATGGCACGGCGTTGAAAATTCGATTAAAACTTTCTCGTCTTTATCGTGCATCGGTGCAACGAGATAAACAACGTCCCCGAAAGAAAACAACGGTTCGAAGATCGACGCTTTCGCCTCGAAGCCTCTTCAACTTTGCCATCTTTTACGCACCATCTTCGCGAAACGGATGGGTCGAACGAAGAGCGGAAGAATTCCGGCTGGACGGGAACGAAGTTCCTCCGCGGCGGCGATATAAAGAACTTTATACGTGGGTCTGCGTTCCAGTTGAATTAGAGAAGAATTTTCCGTCGAGCGAAGCGGCAGAATAAAAAGTTCGGGAAATTTAATTGTCGTCACCTTGCCGCGTTGAAGATGGGCCCAGACAGCGAGCTTGGTTGAAGGAAAGGAACAACTGGGACGCGGTTAATTCGCGCGATAAAGTCCGACTGACGCTGCTTTAATTGCGTCTCGCCTAATTCCACTGGATCTCTATTGAAATTTTCTCGAGAACTCGCAGAAACACCGTGAAACGACCTACGGTCCACTTCATGCTTCAGCGATCGGGCTAAAAGTTCGTTTCTTTGGGCAATTCGCGACGGTATGGCTATTGGATTACGACTGTCTCTCCTCGCGTGACGAGCCCGGTCCGCCGCTGTTGGATCATTCCTCGAAAGTTCCCTTCGAGCTAGAGTCGTTCGTTTCGAGTGATTGTATCATTGCCGTGATTCCGTGTTTGTATATATAGTTACACGTGCACTAGACACGAGCTATTCCACGACGAGGCACAGTCATACTCCATTGATACGATTTAACGCTGAAGCTACCGACCTGTAACGTGTGCACAGACATGATTAAATTTTTCCGATGGAAACAAATAGATAATATAATTACGTTTCTGTGTCGGTAAAAATCAATATCGGTTTCATTAAAAGCAGTCGAGGGAAAACAATTGGAAATCAGTTATTTTTGATTGGGCTAGTAATTACGATATTAAAACCGTATTTATCTCGATTTAAAAGGGTTCATTAAGGTCGTGTCATCGATACCCCGGGTCATTCAAAGGTCATTGCATGTTCCGTTATTATGGAAATAACGGTGATTAAACAGGCTAGAATTTTTATTATCGTCCAGATTGGAAGTTAAATTAATTCCACGCGAATCTGAAACATCGCACTGCGCGTAGGGACTTTTAATCAGACCTTTAAATTGAAAAACTATTTTCATTTCGCAACCAGGTTGCTCATTATTTAATAATATAATTTCTTTGTGTTTGCGAATAAACAGCTTCCATCAACGAGCATCCAGCAGCGAAATATTCGAACGTCGTTAAATTTCATCCCCCTTCGTGCATCCCTTTCGTGCACAGATCTCTTCATTTGCCTCGCAAAATTCCGTGCGAATTTTTTGCGATATACGGTCAGCTCGACCCCTTGCCGTTCGATGAAACATGTAATTTCGCCATTTCGTGCGGCGCGGAGGCACATACGCGAGGAAAGTTGGCGGAACTCGTTTGTTTAGGCGTTCGGGCACCGACGATTGTTCTGGCTCCGATTGCGGCACGTACCGACTGTTTGCACGACAATTTCGCGAAAACTGGGATAAAACTAATTCGTAATTACTGGTTCCGTAGTCGAGGCACGCCCGTAAATCGTCAATGCGATAATAGCAGCCCGGCATGGCGCGGCAATTTCAGAAAAGTTCCGACGCTATTCGTCCGGCCGATTTCCCCTTGAATAATTCGATTCGAATAATGGGTCGGCGGACACCGGTTTTATATCCGTTTACGGGAATCGGTGAACTCACCTCTTTGGCGACCATCATGGCCGTGGGCACGTACTTCATCGAGCCGCAGATGATGCCTAGCTGGTAGAGGGCGAAGATCAGAAGAAGTCCGACGAAGCAGATGATGGGCCCCTTACGGCCGCCTCGGCTGAGCAAGAACGACATGTCGCCGGTGAGAACGACGATCACGTTACCCCCGTGCACGTACTGGGACGTGTTTTGGGCGACACGTGAGTGAACACCGGTGCAGGCGTCACGGCCGATGCGGTGGTCACGGCGGGCTACTCGAGGCCAAGGTTTCGGGGCCTCGTGTTCCCGGTTACGCCATTAGCTCATTGCACCTGTTCAACGAGGGAGAAAATTTGATTAGGTAACGGTAGCGAAAGCGGTGTTTAACGCGATACGTGCGGCGATGTTGTCGCGCCACTTTCGGCTAACACGCTTGTTATGCACGCTGACATGCATATTTATAATAACCGTGAAATGGGAAAGTTAATCGAAAGTTACATCAATTTAGTTTCTGTGCATACACAGGAGTTATTAGACAGTTTGCGTTTGACACGCGAGCTAAGTCTCCTGAGAGATTCGGAAATGATATTCTTCGGCCTTGTTCGAGGGGATGAAGGTATGGCGCAACGATGAAGATTATGAGAGTATAATGGCGATAAAGCGTCGCGCACATATTCCGTGGTGAAAGATATCGGATATTTGGTTTACTGGCATCGGAATAAATAACTGAATAAATCGCGAGATTCTTGTTCCACTGTCGCTTTTATTTCCCGGCAAAGCTGCTTCTGCAAGATTTACCATTAAATCGATCACCTAAATCACCGCGGTTCCTGCGGATTCTGCCTGTCGGATTCAACATTTACAATCCGATAAACGATTTCTCATAGAACAGTCCCGTCGCGTTCGATGCATTACTACTGGCTTATCGAGAAGCACATACGAGATAGTAAAGACCGCTATAAAACCAAGCAAATACGACGAACGCATCTCGATTAAGATCTTATTTAATCCCGGCCCTTTGACTCCGTTACCACCCAAGTTTCTCCGAATACCTCGACGCAGCGGGAAAAGTGGAATAATCTGTTGGAAGAAATTATACCCGCGATCCACCTACTAATATTTATCTTCGTGTAGCAGCATACTCGCACGAGCCATCGTAATTTTCGTTTCGATGGCTCGTTGCCATCGGCCGAGACTGAACCACCTTTGAACGGTTCCTTGAGCGCGCTTTTGATTTACCAGCTCTCCTCTTCCGTTTCGCGGCTTTGCCCCGAGTAATTTATGAACGGTGGGGAAACCCGGGGTTGCTTTCGCGTAAGAATCATCGATGCATTAGCGCGATAAATCTGGTGGATTATCGAACAGCCGCGCGCGCGTTGTGCTGTTATCCGAGACACCGAAAAAAAGAAAAAGCAGGAGACAGGCCACCTTGTTTGGCGAGTCCGGAGCGGCGCATCGTAATAATCCGATGAATCGATCGAAGGAGGGAGGGTTGGAAAAAAGAAAACGGGGCCATGGGAAAATAGAATTTTCGAAGGAGAATTTCGCGGCAGCGGCGGCGCTCATCGGCTAGCAACTTGTTAATAACGTCGTATTGTGTGCTTAAAGAGTTTCCAATACTTGCGGAAGATAAGCTTGCAAATTTCGTTAGCAAGTTAGTTGCTCGCGTTTATTTGATATAAGCTCGGCTAATGTATAAGTAACGAAATTTGAACGAACCACGGCAGGGTAGTGACGGAGAATTCTTCGGAGGCTGGTCGGTCCGCTTCACCTCGCGGCGCAGCTCCGCGCGGTTCGAGCAGCGACATTCAAAGGGAAGAAAAACGGGAGGGCAAAGAGGAGCTTAAAAGATCCATATCGGGACGGATGGTCAACCGGTGATTCGTGAAACGTAGCCGTCGACCTCGGTAAGGTGAAAAAAGGGAAACGTAAGACGGAGAAAAGGAGAGAAGGATCAAAAAGGAGAGGGGGATGAGAACGGAAGAGGAACTGGGTCGTATATGAGCGACCTGTATCTATTTTCCGGCGACAGCTTTCAAGGAGAGCTTTCCATTTCGCGCCTCGTCTTTGACCTCTCTCACCCTAGAAGCTCACCTTTCCTCGCGCGATGAAAGATGAGGACAATCGCCACATATTGCTTGCTCCGTGCTACGCTCCAATCTAACGCTCCGCCATACTACCTTCAATCTCCCTGCTTCCCACGCTCACCCCCGAAATAAAGCATCACTTCGTTTCCTTGTACCAACACGATTGTTTTCCGAATTGGACACCTTTCGTTGCAACGCTCTATTGTGCCGTCGAATTGAATCGACGCGAGGGGGAAATAAACTTCGGAAGACAGGGAACACTTGTTACGATTCGATTTCACCTCCGGCGTATGAAGATTTCTTTTCCTTCCTGCTCCGAAGTTTCGTCGTTTAATATTCTCGCGAAAGAAGGGAAGGAAGGAAAGGAATAAATTATCGAAGCTATTCGTATGGAAATAACAGTCCACAGTCTCTGAACGTGAAATCCTCGACCACGAACAATAAGCGCGTTCATTGGACGTCGTTATTCGATCGGAATGTTTACGTTTTATCAATGATTGGCGTAAAAAGTGTCGCAACTTTTGCCCCCGCTGGTTTTAATTTAAGCGTTTCTTTGATTGCGATTCCGTAACGGTAGAGTGTTCAATTAGCGAGAGCACGCTGAAAGTTTAAGCCCTGGTCGCCTAAGGGCTCGTTCCGTTATGCTGTTACGTCCGTTCCGGCGACCACTCGCATTTTTTCCCTTCCTGTCGCTCGCGGAAACGCAATTCAGGCTGGCCCCCGTTTCTTACTTTTGTATTTATGCCGCTTTTAATATCCATGGAGGGCAACGGTTTTATTGCAACGCGAGAGTCATTCGCGTGCGGTTCCCTCCGCTGAATTCGGACGAAATAACAGCGGCAGAAAATGAGGCCGACTATCATCGATCCTCGTCTTCGCCTCGCGCTTTTCCAACCACCTCCCGTTTAACCTCAGCTTCTTCTTCCGGATAATACCGCTATCGACATATCGTCCTTGTTCAATACGAGGAATGCAAATCAATTTCGGCCTCGTTCCCCGATATATTCGCGCTTCTGAACCTTCATATTTGCTCCATTATCGATGAAGTACGCATCCGGAACTCGGTAATCGATCGTTATCAGGCCTGCCAATTTTCAGCCTGCACAGCTTCAGCCTGATCGAATCCTTGGCACCCTCTATTTCTCCCTTGCCTCGTCTATGGAACGTTCTTACACGTTGTACCTTCCGTCCGCTGGACTTAATTCCCCCTGTTAGCGGCAGCCCCCTTTCCCGTGCCTTTCTTAAATTCGACATTTGTCTACGACAGCGAGTCGTCGGTGCAAAATTGATAACGCGAGCCACCACCGGACGCTGGCAGATCGATGTTTACGATAGCGCTTGGCTGTTGGCACCTAGACATATTGTTGCTTTTCGCCCCGGCGTTGAACGACAACTGCATCCCTCTCTGTGTTACACGCCCCTATTGGCCGTTGCCTTTATGACTGCACGCTTTTGCACACTCGACAGGGTCCACTGTGTGAGCTTCGATTGTCCTCCGGTGGACCAGCTATGCTATTGTTAATTAAAGCACGCTTTGTACTCTTCCTCCAGCATTTACGTCTATATCAACGGCACGCTGTTAATCGTAATTTTCTAGGCTGGCTCGATAACGCTGCACCCCGTTTTATCCTACGGTATCGTTTTGCCGAGCGTTTCGACGAGGAAAATATCCTTTCACCCTCTAGACGACTCATCCCTGCCGTTCTCGAAATAGTTTACGCTTTATCGGGACGATCGGGCCCAGATATACATAGTAGTTGACCCGCATGTGGTGGTCTGCAAGCAGCTTCCAGAGAGTACGGTTAATGTTCGGAGAAAGCCAAAAACCACATCGTAACGATGTCTTCGATGTAGTTCCCTGTGGAAACACATTCTGCGAAATAATAAACAGCGGTTTCTCGCAATTTTGGGTCATCGATACGGATCACGGAAGCACCGACAGCCAGTAATTTCGGGTTTGCGCAGTGGCCGATATTTTCGCGGGAATTACGGTTATCACGAGCAGCACGATGCGAGTTCACGCGACGCCGGGAAAAATACAAGCGCGAGCCGCGTGATTAGTGGAAGTACGCGCGATCAGAATTTCGTTTGCCCGCTCCTTTAATCGCATCACGTTTCTACGAGATTACACGTTTCCGCGGAGCAGAATTCGAGAGGAAAATTTTTTTACCCGCAAACTGAAATATTTCCCGATGGTCGCGTTTCGAACTCTCGCCCCTACTCCCTTTGCGAGTCGCTCCCCGTTTCCGATTCACCGTATCGGAATGGGCAGAAATTTTCCGAACAATATCGCGTCAAGGCGATCACGCTAGCGCCGGTTACAGTTGCGAGCATGGATCCGTGACACACGTGAGAGAGAAGCAACTGTAAAAAGTACTGGCAGTCTGGGGAACGCGTGTCGGACTGGTGGAAAAATTCGCGTGCCGCGGATGAGCGGGAGAAGTTGGGGGTTGCATGCGATTTCGTGAGAAATCGAGGCCTGACCGAAGATAGCGTCGGAGGGTCGAAAGTTATGCACGCCACAAAGAGTTCTTTGTCTCGACACCGACAACCTTATCGATTCCTCCGACACGTTGTTCCCCGAGGGATCCACGAATCTCCTCAAGTTTAATGAAAGAACTTGGATAACGCGATCGTTGATCCGATATTCCGATAGAATAAGCCGCGTAATGGAGAAAGAACAGGATCGAGTGGCCCACGGCACGGAGCGTGAAATATAATTACTGGAACGTGTGCTATGTCCTGCTTTGGAGAAAAGAACCCCGGAAAGTCGCTGTTCGAGGAACTAAGTGGTAAAAGACGGTAGGGTTCCCAAGGAGGGTGAGTACGTTCAGTTGGTATCCTCTGGTAGTCTACTCTAGTCGGGCTCACGGCCAACTGAACTTTACACCCTTGCTAAAGCTTCGATTCGGGGGGTGGTACAACGCTTTGGGAGCGAAAGAAACTACACGCTTGTCTCCGGATGAAAGAGTGGAAGCTGCTGCGACGGCTAAAGGGGATAACACTCGTAGGTACCGTTCCGACTACTCGGGCCCCACTTTTCCATGACAAACGTTTACCGTGCGAGTTACACCGGTACACGAGCGTGGCGTTATTTCCTCTCGGTATAATCCCGTTAGCAGCTTCGTAATTGGATTCCATCGGCGCCTGGCGTCCTTTGACCGCGTTACAATTTGTAATGTTACCAGGAGGCGAGGCTGGCATCGTGCACCGACCGGTAATGATACGGCTCGTTTAGCTCGCTA